TGTGATCTCAATACTTTGGTACTGTTATGTTTTAGTCTGAAAACTCTAAAAAGAATGGCACTTATTAAAAAAGTCATGAAATTGTTTTCTTTTAAGAAAACAGCTTCAAGAGAATTTGCCATGATTACTTATCTTCGAGAAGCTGTGAATGAAGAACACCTTTCGCTTTCAAGGGCTTAAGAGCAGATATCTCACAAGACTACAATTACCTTTTATGAATTCATTTCTTTTTCCCGCTTTTATTCACATACTTTTTGTAATATGCACAGTTAACAAAAATAACGTCTTGTGGGCAATCGAAGTGAAATGAATTGGACGCGAAAAGGGGCAATTCACTTTCCCCGTAGAATGTACAATTTACTGTACAATGTAACCGCTTTTATGCGACTGGCAATCTCCAGTAAGTAAAAAGTGAGTCGTTTTAGTCTCTATCTGATCAACAGTCGTAAAAGTTTTCTGACTTACAAATTTTTAAAGTCGGTTTTCAAAGAACTGGCAATCATGTATTCAGCCTAATTTTTGTTTGCATGTTAGTACAAGTTGAAGTATTGCAAGAATGGTAGCATAAAATTGTTCCGGATTTTTCTGGAGAATATTTCTTTGTGCCTTCGTTATTGAAGTTATTTTACGATCTCTTTTGTGACAGATGTAGAAGAGAGAAGTATTTCTGAGATGTGACCGTTTGACGCCTTACTTCAGTAGGTGTCATTTATCATGTAACAACTGTTTAAATTTTAAACTTTAAATTTTAAAAAAGTCACGAAACAAATTAAGGAAGCTACCGTGGGTGCCAGAGTTTTTTTTTCTTTTTCCTGATGGTTCAGAGACAGGGTAATCGACAAACTACTGCTGGACAAGCGTAGTCCTTTGTTTGTAGCACTGGTTTGAGTCGTACAAAAATAGAACGTTAAGATTGCAGTACAGACAGTAGACTACGAGAGAAGAGAGAGGGAAACAACACGCAAAGATTTTTTCGTTTTCATGTTCAGTTCACAAAATGCAAGTATTTCGCATGTGATGTTATCTTTTAATAAATAGAATAATGAACAAATTCTATATTGGGGAAGCAACGTCGGGCGAAAATGGTGAACAAAGCTTTGGTTGCACAGTTTTTATCATTTTCCGCAGAAATAGTAATAGCTCATTTATTTGATTTGAACTTCTCCGATTACTATGTACTAGTAATTTGAAGTATCGAAGTGCCGAGTTTCCATTATCTCAAAAATGTTTATATTATTTTCATTTAGCAAAAGCGATATAAAAACTGGCGTAAAAAAGGTTACACTAGGAGAAAAACACACCAGTCATGTCGAACAAACTTTGAAACTTTTAAAGTGCGAAGAGAAAAGAGATTACCTGCACGATTTCTGTTCTCGGCCGTCAAACTGAATTCTGCGTATAAACAGGTAAGCTTATAGTCTTAGATAAAAATGTAGTCACAACTCTTATAAATGGTTCGGGTATATTAAAAGCGTAAATCTGAGCAGAAATTAGACACAACTTACACATTTCGCTTCCCTCTCACTTAAAACAAGTGAATTGAAAACATTTTTATGAAAAGACGAGAGTCTAGAATTACTGAGACGGCAAAATGCGAGCAAAATGTTCTCCGTAATCGCGACTACGCAAAACAGCTCAACAACTTACTGTAGCCGCAGGACTACGTGGGAAAAATGAACAGTCACTTGGTTCTGATCATGCGCAGTAGCATGTTTAGCCGTAGTCGTAGTTCGTAGTCATCCTATCTTAAAGTCCCTAATATAAAAAGGCGAAACAGAGTAAGCAAAAAGATTTCCCCTGCGCACATTGTCCATCCATCATTTCTTTGAAATTACACACATTCAAATTCCCCCTTTAGACTGATCGGGATGTTGAGAAAAAATGAAAAATAAGATCGAAGATATGTCGACTGGCGATTTATTTGGTTGCAGAAAAGGGAGAGCAAGGAAGATCCAAATTTTGGCCCGTTTTTAGCTTCAAGAGTCCGAAGGTATTAAGTGCGCTCTAAAGTTTATTGAAGCTCAAGTAATACATAAACGAAGAAACTGATTTTGGACTTTGGTGTAATGTAGTAACTTATTTGTAACGCCTGAAAATCGAAGTGTGAATTTAAAGGCGCCAAAGAAACGAACTGTACTTTGTAGGACTTTGGAACTGACTGTTTTGAAGTTTCCTTGACAGTAAAAAGTAAACGTTTGGCAAGTTAGCGATGCAAATGTACCAATGTTTTGCTAATAATCAAAGAGTTTTCAAGAAGAAGTTAAAGTTGTTGGCCTAATAAAAAGGTTAAAAGACACTCACCTTTCACAAGAAAAAATTTTGACTTGCGTCTCTCTCATTTCTTATGGTATTCTGGGTGTACTGGCATATAATTAATAGCTCTTGCCATATTTCTCTGGATGGTCCAATACATGTTCGGGGTTGTAACCTTGATGTTTTGACGTAAGGAACTAATGAAGATCCTTTAATCTCAGTCTGGTTTGTGACCATATAGGCAACACATTAAAATTTAATTATGACTCAATATAATGGATGAATTAAAAGCTTTCCCTTGAAATTCAGTAGTTATCTTTATTTAACTGTCTGATACCGTATCTGAGTGTTACTTAGAGCATCCTCAAGACATTAAAATTCATGATGAAAATGCACTCAATCCTTAACTTTCATTGGCCTCAGCCTGGGACCTGCGCGACAAACGGTGAGCAATTTGTGTTGGAAATGAAATAAATCTGATCCCGATTTAAGGTACCGAATGTTGTACTATCTCATTGAAGCTCTTTGCAATTCTTTGGCGACACTCATTTTCATTGTTATATGGCAGGAACATTTATAATATTTTTCGTCTGTGATTGCTAACTTTTCAATCCATAAATTACTGTACGTAAGCATTTTTTTTCCTGTTTTCTTTAGTAAAATATGTGCCTTTTTGTACAAAAATGAAACCCTTGAAATGCATTTTTGTAGTTTTTCAACTTTTAAACCTCTAAAATTGTAAAATCCCTCACCAGGCGCTTATTTCTTGCTTCACTGAAAGGAGGCAAGGAAGCCCTCAGCTCTTTTTCCTGGATTTAAAACATTCTGTCCCGTAATTTCCACTGTAAGAGATTTTTATTTCATCACAATTTTAAAGTGGTTGGGAAAAGAAATCGATGATCGGTACAAGATTGAATCTCTGGATTTTAAATTATTGGTTCAAGTAATGGCTAATTTCTTAATGAAGTCTATTACTGACTCGTAGTTTGATGTGGATCTTTCTGGAAACGTTCTAAATATACTCCCCTTTCCATTAGTTTAATTTTGCCTAAAGATAGTTTACGTCAGCCATTCATTTAAAAAGAGGTGAAGAAAATATTGACATCAAATAGCTGCTTGTTTTGTAATTTATACCCACCTATGAATGGTCAAATTATTTTCGTCTTTCACAAAATGTTGTGGTCTCATTTTCGACAACACTAAGAATAGTTATGTCCAAGGTAAAGCACGACCAAATGCTTGTTTGTTTAAACTAAAAATGTTCCTCGCTCGGTTTAGACCACTAATGTTGATGATCTGCATGCATTAGATGGCCTTTGGCTTTGTCGAAACGACATTATATCTTGATTTGTGATGGCGTGAACTACTATTTTTCAAAATTATATTGCGTTTTTCCTTTCAATTCACCTTTCTCAAAAAGTATTACGGTCGGGATGTTTTCTACTTAAGTACCAACATTGGTGTGAAAATATAACTGAAAGTCAGTCTATTCACAAGTTGAGGGCTACCTGCAACAGGGATACCTGTACCTTTTTAGAGGCGATTTGTTTAAAAAACGAAAAAAAATATTTCTTTTTTCTTTTTTTATATCTGTACTTTCTCTATTTTCGCTCTCTTGTATTAATCCCTTCAAAAAATCTATGGCCCTTGAATGTGGGAGTTTAAGCAATGTAAATAGAAATTTATTACATGTTAATTAATTTAAATAGTGATATTGACAGAGCCTTCTTCTAAATTTTGTTCAACGATTTGTTTGAGAAAAGCGCAAAATTAGGATATATCAAAACGTTTTGCATCACTTATGTTCAGTATCTGACAATTTTGTAATCGCAGCGATAAGACATGTATAATCTACTCAAACTAATGGTAGCTGTAATGAAAGCTGAGGTGTAACTTGCTTAAAAGCGCATTAAATTTAACATTAATGAAGATTTGTGGAACATCTTTTTCTCGTTCTTGCCATGTCAAGGGAGTAAATTAATGCCTCTCTTCCATTATTATGGTCGTGGTCACGTTTTATTTTGATCAACAGTCCGAAGGTGTTATGATTTTCCAAGAATACTTCATCTGTGTTTAATTTCTTGTTGGATTAAATGACTTGCTGAACGTTTTATACTTTTTGTATTAAAGTCTTTGTATGGTAGTAGACATTTTACTTTTTTGAAAGGTGGAATTGCTTAAGCAGTGACTTGATTTAAAGGATGAAATCTAGTATAAGCTTATATGCTACAGAAGGCCGGCATACAGGGGCTTACTATTACGAGGAGACTCTAATACTTCTTATAACAGAAATAAATAATATAAATCAATTTTTTCTCTTAAGACTGAACCCGTCTGGAAACGCAGATTCTGAATAATATTTAGTGTTTTTTAGCAGTTAGCTTTGCTTTGCTATTATGTCAGTGGTAAAGGTATCGGTAAATCAAAGCAGGAAAACTCATAAAGGCGTCCGATTTTGTGCGATTTTCTCTTCCTATTGTATTTTTGCCAGGTTCGTGATAAAAGGTGGCTTTTAGTTGTTGGCGTAGGATCTGCTTATTGAGCTATTATTTCCCGCATAGACATTTAAATTAATATCTGGTGTTTCCAGCTTGTGAATAGCAATGGCTACAAATGAAGATTTCCTGTGTAATTTTCCATACCTGATCATGTGCTGTAACATGCGATTGCTTTGCTGAAGATTCAGTACGTGAGATGTTGACCTTGATAACAGTGTTACACGGCATCCTTTTTACGCCGTTTTGAAAAACTAATTCGTCATTTTTTGACAAGGTCACCTGTTCCTTAGTGTGTGTTAAGGACAACTTTCTATTTTTTCAGAGACCAGAGTAAATAAATTGTTTGCTCCCCAATATGTCAATAACTGACCAACTGATCTGTTGTGAAAAAGGGGGCAGAAACTTCTAGTACATTTTGAGAGGTGGAACACCTATTGAACCAACCTAATAAAAAATTAGATTAAAGTACAACTAACTCTCAGTAATTTAGACAAATTTCCTACCACGACGTCCGTATAGCATGCAGCTATGGCGGTGGCAAATAAATGGGATCTTTGCGTGTAGTCTTCGTTTAATGAATATTTTAAAACTTCTATCGACGATCAAAGAGCGCCGTTTTCTCATTTTCAGTATTAAAAAAAGAAAGAAGCCAAAAAATCTACAAATTCATTTTCCTACCTATGTGTGTGCTACCAAAGTCGCTCAACCGTCTTTTAAAATGCCATAATTTCAACCATCGTCCAGTTTCGGTAGGGCAGGAAGAAGTTTTATTTGAGTTCCTTTTTCCGTTCCCGGGCTGAACGATTTACTAATAGTTATTTGTGACGCAAAAGGTAGATTGATTTTATATACTTATCGACGGGGGAAGACTAAAAATGTAAACTTGGAATACAATATTGAAAAGCTTTTACGCCACTGATCGTCGCTCCTTTTTTTTATCTTTTCGTAATACAAATCATGCATTTTATGTCGTAGCACTTTTCCAAAAAATAAGTACAGAAAAATAATTAAAATAATAACTGCTAAAAAGAAAAGAACCAATCAAACTTTGTTTTTTGAAAACTTAAGTTTAAAATCAATATTTTATTTGAGGCCAGAGGCTTTTTGGTTTGCTTTTATGATGTTTGGTAAAAGCACAAGAAAGTGTATTTCACTCGTTATTTTATTTTAAAATAATTTTAAAGATAGTTTTTTGTGGTTACTTGGCAAGATATTTAAAAAGAGTTTGACGGATACCCGATGAAAATTATTGCAGAAATGTAGGATTTATGTGCATGCAATTATAATTTCACTATTGTCGTTGCCCTCATGCGATCAAAGCATTTTATGTCAGTAAACAGCTGCTCAGATATAGTCAATTTTATTTCAAATGTTGAAATGTATTCTTACTACTAAAATCGTGGTTAGGATAGACGAACAGCAAAGCAATTTAATAAAAGGTGTAGAGTATTTTTCAAAGATTACTTATCATTAAGATGACAATAATGATAATCGAGACGTAATAATTCTGCGTTATATTGGTTATGCTGTTTGATAATACAACTTTAATGTTAAGTATTAAAAAAGCTTAATATTTCCTTTTATTTTTATTTTGACCTCTTTCTCTTTCAAGCAAGCGACTGCTTTTTGATAGATATGATGTTTTTGCTAGTATGCTTTTCTAATCATGGCGGTAAAGTCATATCACTAATTAAAACGGACTTTTACATTATAAAAGCATGAATTTAAGTTGAAAGGTAGAGGGCGTATTAAAAATGTTAAGGCTTCGGATTGATATGTACTGTTAACACAGAAAAATAATCATTTTCATTTTTGTGAGGCCGCCAACTGCTTGGCCTATTCCTTTTGTCTTTATTTTAGAAAAAAAAATTAAAATAAACGTTGCGTGACTGTACACAAGTCACAAACGATCGCTAACCTCATGATAGTATAGGCAGCCCAATTGCACTGTTTTTAAACAAAGATGCATTCTCCCCATTTAGCAGAAAAAAGGCGTCTCAGTGGTCAAATTCAACTGTTGTCAACGAATAGATTCCACACTAAGTTGCTCTGTATGGAAGGTTTTGCTAAGATCGTCGTGACAAATTTCTTAAAAGCGAAATGTTAACAGTTGCTATCATATTCACGCTTTTAAGGAAAGAAACCTGGTCTTGTCTCGTATGGTCAAATTCAACTGCTCATAGCAAGTAGATCACGCTTTGACTTTCCAAGTCTCAGAGGTCTTGCTAAGACCATTTGACAAATTTCTTTGAAACGAAATGGTTAAAAGCTCAGGAGTTGCTATCATATTCACCGCACATAATATGTTTTCCAGCTATAGCATTACTATATAACTTTTGATATTAAAAAGGCTTATTATTATCATATACTTATACAATTTTGGATTGTTTTAAAGCGAAGTAATTCAAATGACTGTTTTTATGGATACATAGACAGTTGTAAGAACAAAAAGGTAACAACAATATGATTTGCCCGAAGGAATGAGCTTTAAGAATACTCTTAAAGAGGGCGAAATATTTTGTCTGTCTACCCACTGTTAAGTAAAACAAACCTTTTGCTCTTCCCTACAGAATACTTCTAGCCTTCTCTTACTTGCTTTGGTATATACAGTGGAACCTCGATAATAATTATAACGAATTTCTAAAAAATCAAGTCCTTATATAGCGAACAAATTTCGCCGGTCCCTTGGCCCTCTCTCGACGTTTCCCTGAATGAAGCATATTATTTAGTCAGTACTTCGCGGATACTA